TTAATAGCACCACAAAAGGTTATACGATGTGGGCCCAGGTGAATTTATAACCATTATTAATGTCACTTCTACCAACTAAGCATTTTACTACAAACCATTGTCAATGGCAACAATAATGATTTCTATATGACATAGATATTCCAAAACAAAAGGTGTATGTAATACCGAACACATTGATACACATACGTATATGAAATAATAAATACATTGATATATGCATGTGCGTGTATTTTAATTATTTAAAGGTTAAACAAATGACCGTCATATGTTATGATTTCGTTTCTATTTTTCTATTTTATTTTATTATTTATTGTGTATGAGAGGTTTCGCTGTCTACTGTCATTTATTTTTTTTTAGTTTTGTTTTTCCACATTTCTTTTACCTTTGAGGACGCTGGCGGTAACACGGTAATGTCATGACAATTTGGACACCAATAGACCATTGTCAATGATGGATAAATAGATAATGCCACGTCAATGTGTATTCATATATATATGTATATGAACATATAAAGTGTCAATGCGTTCTCATATATATGATTGTGTCGATGTATCTGCGTGTGTCTGTGTAATTTATTTTCTTGTGTAGGCGTTTCAACAACAACAATGTGACCAATTTTTTTTGTTTTTTCTTCTTTGTTCCAATTGGTATTTTTTTTTCAATATTTCCAATATACAAATTTATTGTTTTGTGCTGCTACCACTTCTTCTTCTTCTCGTTCTTCTACAATGATATTTATTAGAATTTTGTGATCCCCTTTTTGAATAGTTGTTTTTGTAGTCGTTCCAATTTCGTGTTTTATTGCTGTTGTTGTTCTTTTTTCTTCGAGTTTTTGTAGGGTTCTAATTGACACTTATTCCGTGTTATTATATTTTCTTGTTCTACAATCAATTGTGTATTTAAACGTGAATGCGTATATGTTATTAATGTGTATGTAATTTTTACAGGCAGGCTCTTGTAGTCATCCACACACACATACGTTAAATTTATACAAAAAGTAATTGCCGCATTATAAATTTTTAGATGGATGGAAGGAACTGTAATTATATGTTTGTTACCATTTGCATATGTGTGTAGACTCATTAGTTGTTGATATATCCTATATATGCATATGTATGTGTATATATAATTTGTTGTTGCAATAATGTTAGTGTAATATTGCTGTCACCATTTTCCTGTTTAGTTTATAATTGTATTGGAAAAAAATAAATAAAAGAAAATTATATCAAATTAAATTTTGAATTTTATATCTACTCTACTTTAGTGGTTGAATCTACATTAGCTTGTTCCGAATTAAAAAATATGCCAAATAACGGAGTTTTAAAAACTATGCATTCAAAGTAAAAAATGTCAAAATTATTCTTACAAGCAATGAAATATAAAATATGGCATTCTATCATTGCTTCATCAATTTTTTTACTTTTATGTAGAACAAAAGCCATAGGCCAAGAACAAAAAATTAAAAAAATTGTGCATGCTTTTGAGCACTTATTAAATATATAAAAGTAATATCTGTTTCAACAGATATATCATATTAAATGTAAATACTTTTAAATTATAAAAAATATAAATTATTTTAAAACAAAAGCATATTCTTATTTATTAATGCTCTCTGTCTGATCGAAATTAATGTTGAGTTTTTTCTTTATAAATTGGAAAAGTTTTACGATTTTTTAAACAGACCCAACATTTTTATTGAATCCAAAACTTAATGAAAATGTGAATTCATTGACTAGTATATAAACATATTGTACGTTCGCCTATTTTTCTTGAGTATAAAACACAAATATTATAATTTCGGACAAGCTAATGAAATTTAATTTTTTAAACGTATATATATATATATATATATATGTATATATAATATATATTTCTTGTAAACTTTTTAAAGTGTTCATTCCTAATAATACTCCTATTTACATTTTAAAATGTATAAATACATGACTGCTTATTGAATAACCTATCAAATCAATTTAAATTATACCAAGCGAACATCTAGGCGTAATATTATTTTTATTTGTTTAAATATTACTCATACGACATATAGCACAAACGTCAAGGCAGTTATATATAAACATGTTTATATTTCTATGGAAAAACGATATAAAAAACGAAATATTAAAAAATTAATCAATAACAGGACTCCTTATATTTTTGACCAGAATCCTTATCCAACAATAATTTTAACCCGACTCCTTATTCAATTTCAAAAAAAAATACCTATTCCAAAAAGGGGACCCATAGTTCATGTTTGTGGTTTAAGACAAATTTCCTTTATAATAGTCAGAACAGTGGCTTCTTTTCTTAACAATTTTGATGTTTATAGTGCATACAAATATCCTTGAAATCCTTGAAAAATGTTTGATTAGTCATATTATATTTTGTTATGCAGAAGAAGTTATAATAACAAGACTGAAACTTAAAAACAAAAATAGGACAATATGAAAAGTTCAGCTACCAAAACAAATTGATAGCCACAATAAAAGAAAATTAAATATATGTAGTCTTCCTAGAGACAGGAAACTTAAATGGAAAGTTCACATATTACAACAGGTCGACAAAGTCCACAGGTCTCTCTGCGAGCCTTAAATTATATATAAGAGCGATATATTAGACCAATTCTAAAGTGTGAAGTCCGGTAGATGGCAATGGGCAACACCAATTAGGTCTTAGGAGACTCTATTTGTCCTATATTTTAGACATTAACGTGTGAACTGACACCGGACACAATAAACCACACAAAAAGTATTGTGCCTGCCAGCTCAAAATGCGAACGTACAGGCAGAGATTGAAGGTATAACGGAGTGTTTAAACTCTGGTCAAAATACAATAAATATCATGACGGATAGGAATCAAACTATACAAGTCATCACTTCTAAAACTATAATGAATAAAAAACATAAATAATTTCTCACGACACGTTTCTGTAGGTATCAAACAACGCCAAGCCTTTTACAGACCCACAATAAATTATATTATCCACTAATCAACCTCAGGGGACGTGAATAGAAAAGACTGAAGGACTTCAAAAGGAACACAGCTTAGGGAGACAAAACCTGAAGACGATTTTATTTGTATACCCTACACAATTATGTTGTAAGGGTATTGTAGCTTTGTGTGGCCCCAAGAGTTTGTAACGACCGCCATATCTTGACTAGCTGAGTTGATCTAGACATGTGTGTCCGTTCGTCCATCTGTCTGTTTGTAAACAACATAGAGGCCACAGCTATGGACATATCGTCACTAAATTTTGAATGTAGGATTCGGTAGGGTTCTGGCCAAAGGATTAATTTCCGAATATTTAGGGACCAACAATTTATTTTTGTCTGTTTTTTTATAATTATGACCCGAGCTGATGCTCCACAAATATACAAAGAATGCGGTCTAGGCAAGGAACAAATGTAGCTCTATTCATGATAATTGGTCGATATTTAGTGGGTCAAATGTACCCAGACTTTTGTGTGAAAAATTGCATTCTTAGGAAAATATATTTACTCCTGAAGACTATAGACCAGATAAGTGGACAGTATATCCAAGAGGGGTGGTTAAACTTTTATTTTATACTAATTATGTTGTTGTATGTAATCGGCTGTTGTTATGTATCACTAAAACCTCATTAACGGTCTTCGCGCTGAACGCTATGAACATTTTAGATGCAGTTGCGTTTATAGTCAGTGAACGGATGATATTTTAACGGAGACGGCGTCCGGGAAAACAAGATTCGGAAAATATGCCAGGGACAGAGAGAGAGAGGAACTGTTGACTTCTAATCGGCCAAGAAATATTGCCAAGGATCACCATATAAATACGCAGAATGTTCGGCTCCGTCCGATTATACTTCTCCGCTCACTAGTTTTTATTAAAAAATTATATGACCGTCAATGGATCAAATCATATTCAGTCTGCGCTTTCAACAAAACTATGAAAAATTCCTGCACTACGCAAATATTTTAATTGGAATATGCATTGGTCAATTCAAACCACCTCTCAGATTTATTTTCAGGCACGTTTGAATGTTATTCTTCCCACTGGAAATATGATATGAAAATTTTTACCCTTGGTTTCAGCGTACTTTACCAGATTTGGAAGTCCCTCATAGTTCTTTCTCTTGGAAATATGACATCAAAGCCACTTCTACTTATTATTCCACCATATTTTATATAATTGTTTTTTTTTTCACCGGGTCTTTACGAACTCAATCGTTTTTGTCAACTCCCAAATATATTCAAAACATTCAATAATCCAATTAAGTCCTAGCACACAACTCATACACTACATCTTTATTTTAACTGTATCTGTAACTTCATTTATCAGTGAAACAATAAACATATATCGGTCTTCTTCAATTAAGCCTTTCAAAATAGAATCGTTCAATTAGATTAATTCCGATTTGTAGTTTTATTTCAAATATGTACTTTTTTATGAGTTTTTATTGGCATCTAGTAATTCTTGCAATTTCTGGTACATTCACTCTTTAGTAAGGGTGACTTTCCGAATGATAAGTGAACTGTAGAAATTGTTGCAATTTTAGATAGTTTTTTTATCTGTATATAGTTTTTATTTTTAATATAATTTAGTTGCCAAATCGAAAATGTATAAAATATTTTTTTCAAATAAATAGTAGTAAAGTAAAAATCGCACAATGTTTTCATGTGTCCCCTTTAATGTTTATGTTTTTCATCTGATAATCGTTATGCCCATTATTATTTTATATCTCCAATCGAATGACTTCACTCTACTTTTTTTCCATTATTTGTTATTTGAATAATAAGGATTTAATATGTGTAATTTTATGTCGTATGAGTAATATTATCCAATTAAACATTCGCTGCTATACGCCACAATAACCTAAACTTTTAATAACCTTTTGCCCTCTCTTATGGATATATTCACCACCTTTATAGTATATAACATAAATCTTATTTGCCTTATTTTTTTCACTTTTATAAAGCAAAAATAGGATGTATTCTAAAATAAATAAAGTTATTCACTTGACTCACCTATTACAGGCTAAACCAACGTCCCACTCCACTGTTGCCAACATTCACACTAAGGACTTGAACATTTAGTTTTTGTTTGTTATGGTTGTTGCTGCTGCTGATGTTTTTGTAGTTTTGCTGCTTCTTGTTTAATATCGAATAGCTATCAAAATGATTTTCCGTTATTTTCTATCTGAAGGAAAAATTTTGTTTACAGTTTTGATGCCATTCTTTTGCAAATCAATTGAAAATTTTGCGCAAATTTGTTTAAACAATCGTTGTTACTGTTGTTAGCATTGATGATAATCAAGATGAGTGGTGGTGTTGTGTTTTTTACTCTTTTTTTTTTTTTTTTGGTATAAAATTAAATTTCAATAAAATTAATTTAAGCCACAAGGATTTTGGTACTAATATTTGCAATGATGATTACAAAATTATTTCGAGTAATTTTTTTTTTTTTTTTTGGTTTTTAATTATTTATTCAAAACAATGGCACTTTATTAAGGGTTTATAATTTAATTTAACACAATCGGTATGCTGTTGTTGTTTTTCTTTTTAATATTTGTTTTTTTTTTTTATTTCTCTCTAGGTTGTTATGATTCCTGCAACAAACAAACAAAAACCATATTAGTAACATGCCTCCACTGAGACTGTCGCGAAAAATACACGAATTTCCGTTAACACTGGAAGGGAGGGCATGCCGCGACACAATCACCACACAACAACACACGTTGACAATTAACGAAGCGGTAGAATGTTTAGCTTTGTTTATGTTTTGTTTGTTATCGGTACTTCCTTTTTTATTTCCAGCAAAAATAAACACATGCTCAGACACACACCCGCACAGGACACGACACAACACCGAAAAGCTTTTTTCTTAACGAAACTCAAACCGAGAGTATACACACACATATACAACTTATTCACAGCACATTTGTTATGTGGTAATTTTCTTCGTTTTTTTATTTCTTCCTTATGAGTTATATTTTCTTTGGTATTGTTATATATATTATTTGTTTGAAAAAAATTTGATTTGTTACTTTGTTTTTTTTTTAATATTTTACCATTTTCTTTTTACTTCAGTTAAGCAGAATTTCTATTCCATTACACATCCGTCACGTTGAACGTCAAAACAAGCAATGACTGTTATTTAAGCTCCCCTAAACACAAATATGCCGTATAATCTTGCTCTCTTTTGAATAATGGTAATGGAGAGAAATACTTGTATTTATGAAGAGAACAACATTACACTTAATAAGAGAGTGACACGAGACAGTATAGTGAAAGTTTGGTGAGAGCTAGGAAATGGTAACTTAACACATTTCTTGTGCATCAAGAAGAAGCATAACAGCCAGCCAGCCAGCAGAATACAACGAAAACACACTGCCCTAGTTTTGTTTTGTTTTCTCAAGAACATGTACTTTCATTGTTTACACATACACTCACTCACTCACTCACTCACTCACGCACACTCATTCTATTCTCTATCATAACACTGGGTTATTTGTTTCCTTGTGTCCTTTTTATTTTAATAAATTAACTTGAAATTTTTTGTTATTAGAATATTAGTTTCAAAACATAAATTTGAAAATTGGATTGGTAAGGTGACATTATACTTATAAATGTAAATATGTACATATATTAGAGTGCTTTTGAAAATATGGCTATTCTATGGACAAACTATGAAACGGGGCCAAAAAAGTGTTTATTATTTCAATGTTAAATTTATGATGGAGAGTTTAACTCTCAACGCGCCAGCATATAATATGTTCGGCTTCGAAGTTGCCCCACAATCTCTAAAATTGCTGAAAATTTTGTTGTGTCTATTGCCGTTTATAACTTCGAAAACTGTAGGTTTTTGTACACTTTCCATGGAGTTTACTACCTACGACTTGGAGTCCCAAACAGCTAAAAATATTGCGATAGACTTTGATTTTGAGTCATTTGCATTCTTTTACACATAATTCGAAGAACGGCGAAGAAGTTATAAAATTCTTCTTTTACATTAAAATGGTCCAACATCAGACCAGCCTGTTATGTCTTTTCCACTTCGATTGACCTAATAATGCCAGAATCAAAAGTTGTTAAAGAAAAATTACAGTATATATTAAGGACGTCTCTCTAATGTCAAAATGAACACAATGTTTACGTTTTCATAATCGAAATGAACACAATGTTTACGTTTTCATAATCGAAGTCAATTCACAATAATGGATTTGGACAGCAGCATTGAGAAGCAGGTGATATGGTCTCTCTGCATGACGTTATTGGGCCTTAGAAATTATTGAAAAATTAATTAAAATACTGAAAGAGATGAGTTTGGAGGTGATACTAGGTTTACATTACTTATACATTCGAATGTTTCCTATGATACTATGTAAGAATACTTGTATTTTTCTCAGACAAAAATATTTAATTAGCACAATTTAAAAATATAGAGTTCTACATCGTGAACAGAACCCGAAGGTAAAGGTATGCTCCATTGTAATGTCAAACGCTTTGCAAAAAAATGTGGGTAGTAAATATGATATTTTATATTAGGGTGGAAATGCTTTTCTGTAAAATTATTTTATGTACTGTATTATTTGGACTTTATTTTTTAATGAAAAAAAAAATAAAATCAACACAGATTAGATTTGCAGATCAACTGTTTTCTGTGGATATTATACAAGGTTTACATTAAATATATGAATGTTCGCTATGATAAAAATAAGAGTGAATGTAAATACACTTTTAGCTGTCTTAGACAGTTATATGTAGCCAAGGCCTATATATGGTGGGCCAGTATGCGAATTCGTAGTGAAAACTAAAGTTTAACGTCATTTTTGCCGAGGCGAAAACTAATAAAAGAAACACGACCAAAACAAAACACAATTTATAATTTTGTAAGATAATTTACTTGAAATGTTCATAAAGACGATATAAATTAAAAAAGAATTGAATGTTGAAAAAATAATTATATTTTCGTTTTGACGTCTAACATAATTTTGTATGTATGTATTGGTTTTAAAATATAATTTGACAGCAAACTTAATACTCAGCTGTGCTTATTTTCCGACGTTATATAGGCCTTGTATGTAGCAATCCATCCTTGTATGTAGCAATCCTTTACTTTTAAAATATAAAAAATCAAATAAATTTTCCACAAATTTAACTTTCAGGAAAAAGCTGATAGCAATTTCAGTCATTAAATTAAAAAATTAATATAAAATTGTATAATTCCGCAACCTGGCAATATTCTTAATGTATTGACAATAAATTCTAATATTTATGGAAATATTGGATTCAACAAATCCACAGAATGAATGAAAAATGTTTGTTTTTGTTGCAGGACTTTGAAGATAGCAGCAATTGGTTTAATGCCGGGTGAGAAACAGCTGTTCTGTCAAAAACAGAACAGTGGATTTATTTGGCACATATTCTAAGATCTATTAATAAGGTTACCCAGCAAGCCAAAATCAGCTGTTTTTCTCAGGCCTACTGTCAATAATTTGGACTTTGTTTACGTCTTCATAATGGAAATCAATTCACAATAATGAATTTTGACAGCTGATACAAAGTTTTTCTCCTTTGATGTATACAATTTAATTAACAATTTAAACCCACCATAAGGTGTATTTCAGGATTTCATAAGTCGAGTCGATTTATAATGAACTTTCAACAATGTTTAATTTTTTTATTTGTAAACCAATATCAGCTGATCGCCGTTGATATCCTCCAAAACTTATTGTAAGGTTTCGGATTTATTAACAATGTAGATGAACAGAAGATGAACTTTATGAACATTAAACGGCATTTACATTAGAACTTTTTGCCGGCTTAACCTCCTCTATGAGGATTTATGAGAGTATAGAACGGCTGCGGTACAATGCGGTGCAATGTAAACATACTATTACTTCCTTTATTTTAAATTAAGTTGCGTGAAAAAAATATTCACTTTTAATTCAATAATTTTTGTTTGTTATAACAGATTTCTGGAGGATCTTTCATATAAAATACCTTAAATGTCAAAGCTTATCGAATGAAGTTTAGGCAAGATTTAAAAACAAATTTTAAACGGCATATACATTAGAACATTTTACCGGGTTAACCTACTTTATGAGGATTTATTTGGCATATATGCAAAGGAATTGACAATTGAAACCCACTGGGTTAACGAAATCCGGTTAAATGTAAACGTACTGTTAAACATGAAAATTCTATATTGTCTATTATATTTATAGAATCCAAATTTAAAATGTATTTATTAACATTTTTCATTTTGTTTCGATTTGTTCAACAAAGTATGTGAATAAGTTTACTAACAAACCAGACAAAATTTTTTTCACTAACTGTTACAAAGTAAATTCTTTATTGCGAGTTTTCGAATGATATTTACCACAAATTTGCTACTGAGTAAATTTTCCACGAAGGTTTCGTATAACAAGGTCTATTAAAATGGTCATCCACGTCAATCAGCTGTTTTTCAAGATTGCTGTCAATATCCATTATTGTGAATAGTCTTCTATTATGAAAACGTAAACAAAGTCCAAATTTTTTGAAATTAAAGTGCGTTTAGATTTACGAAATCCACTCGATATCAAATGTTAATTCCATAGCATATACGTCAAATATAATACACTAAATATGTGAACAGAATTAACGTGGCGTATACGCTATGGATTTGACGTTTGAAATCGAGTGGGTCTAGAAGTCTAAACGCGTTCTTTAACGATATTTACATTATAACTTTTTGCTGGGTTAACCTCCTCTATGAGGATTTATTTGACATATATGTAATGAAATTTATAATTTAGATCTTCTCGATTTAATAAATCCGGTACAATGTAAAAGTACTATAAGCCGAAATATTCAGGAAATCAATAATCAGCTGATTTGCATTAAATGGGCGAACTGAGTAAATTAATTTTCGTATAATTTTGAATTGAGCAACAAATTCTTATAAATTATTGAGTTATCAGCTATTTTTAACATATTATTTTTTTTAATTTCTTCAATTCATAGTAAATCACATATTCATAGTAGACATATATTTGACCGGTTTCATATAAGCTATTTTCTTTTAGACTACATTCTGTTAGACTATTGGTATGTTCCCGTACTGCAAGAATCTACTATTTTTTACTCCGATAACACTTTTTTCCTTTATGATATCGAAGAAAATAGCAAAATCGAGTAGATTCTTGCAGTACGGGAACAGACCATATATTTTACTATCCAAAAAGAAATGTCCACACATGGAAAAATTATCTACCAAATAATATTTCACTTTCTTTTGAGCTTTTAATTAATAATTTTCAAAACAGAAAATGAAATAATTATCTCTTCAACATTTCGAAAATTAAATGTCTACAAAAATGATCGCACCATCCTTTATTACATTTTCATCGCTGGAAAAGTGGAAAAGCTTTTCCGGTATAATTTGCTGTGTTCTAGGAAAAATTTGTCTATTCTTCAATACAGATGACCTAATTAGAAACGAACATGTATTTATTTAACAGGATAACAAAGAGAAATTAATAGTTTATATAAAAAATAATTTCAAAACTAAAACTTTTCAATACATTTCATTTTATTTATATAAACAAATATAACAACTCTCTTCCTCCACCACACAGTTCAGAGTTCAATGAAATAATATAAAGATGGGAGTTGTTACTATCTCATTGACTCCTTAGACTAAACACCACAACAACAACATCATCCCCACCCACCCCTTTTTGGAAAAAAAACTCTACATTCTTGTATTTCTGTTGTTGTTATTTTTGTTTCACCTACATTTCTTCGGCATAGACATTCGGCTGCGTGTCTGTGTATCGTCCTTTCACCACAACAAAAAAGGAAGAGAAAGTGTCAGATAGCTAGAGCATGCGAGAGAGCGAGCATGAGTAAGGGTTTCAGTGGGTCTCCTCGTTGTACTTGGCTTTATGGATAGGTATGTGCGTGCGTGTGAGTGTGTGCATTTGCAAAGTGTGTATAAAGAAGATATTAATTTTTCTTCCCTCGATGGAAAATTCAAGTTTTTTTCTTGCATTTCACTTTTTCACACTAAACTCAAATTGATTTTCTTCAAATTTATGTAATTATTTTTTTACAAAATCGCGAAGGTTTTTTTTTCAATATTTCCGGTATTTTAATCCTTTTTTGTAAAGGAATTTTGTTCCACACATAATTCATATATGTATATATACACATAACTTTACATATAGTTTTTCTTTCAACTCGATGAAAAATTTTTTGTAAGATTTGTATTCAATTAATTTTTGGATTCATATTTACTTTCTATACAAAAAACTCGTTAAATTCTTTTGTTAAATTTCTTTGCTAATAAACTATTAAATATTTTTCTTTGATTTCCATTCAATTTTGTTGGGATTTTCATAAATTTTCAATTTTCACTTTGTATGTATATGTATTTTTTTACACAAATATTCTTCTTGAACACACACGCGACCGTTATTATTTTTCACGAACCTTTCACGACAGCAGTTAAAACATTTCTGACACAGTTTTGGTCGTGTCACCACACACAGCTTGGTGAACGTTGCTGGAGCGTCAATACTGCCTAGCTGGCTGTTCGGATTCGGTCATCACCGTTCGTTAGCATCTCAGTAGTGCAGAGCTTTTTTCTCTTTACAATTTTTACATCGTGTGAGTGTAGATGTGTGTGTTTGCGCCTTGTTTTGTTTTGGAGGAGTTTCGTTAAAGTGATGTCTTTGACATTTCCTTTGATCCCCCACAATCAATAGTTTTTTTTTCTTCCGATGTCTGACAGTTGACGGTTAACGTGGTGTGTGTGTTGTGTTATTCGTTTCATTTTTTTATTGTGGTTAAGCTTCTACTATTTATTTACTTTATTTTTCTCCTTGTCTTCCGTTTTCCGCATGTTTTCATAACACAAATATAATAAAATGTTTATGTGTTGGTGTTCGGTATATACTCAAAAAAATGAGATAAAGGGTATATGGGTGAATGTTTATTCCTTTTTGTCACTGCCCAACATAGTAGTTCTTTATTTGTATATACTAACATTTGAAATTAAATTATGAGATAAAGGGTATATGGGTGAATGTTTATTGTTAATCAAAATTCTTTTATATGAAAAGTCCTAAAATGATAATCAAAATTCGTACTAAAAACATACGAAAGGTTTAAAACAGCACGAAATGCACTAAAATGACCCCCAGACGAAATGGCTGAATCAGTTTAAAAGGCCCAGCTTTTTTCTCAAGTCTAACGTCAAAAATTTTGACTTTGTTTACGTTTTCATAATGGAAGTAAATTCACAATAATGGAATATGACAGCAAATTTGAGACGCAGCTGATATCTAGCTGGTTTCCCTGGATAATCTTATAATAGACCTTGATTAGATTTATTCTTGAGAAAAAAACAGCTGGCATTCGCTTGCTGGGTGACCTTGTCAATAGCATGGTAGCACCATGATTAATAGATCTTGATTTGAATCGTCCATTTTAAAAGTGGTTAAAGTCCATGTTGTCTTATATTGAAGTATTTAAGAGTTTGTGTATGATTTGTTTCAAAAATGTTGTTAAATTGTGTTCATTTTGTTTCATGATGTTAGAACAACATGTTAGAAACTAAAATGTTATATATTTTGTAAAATTTCCTAGAAATTCAAGGTATATACTAAAATGGACTCAACCACTTTCAAAATAAGCGACTCGTTTAATGGTGAACAAATGAATCTTGAACTTTGACAGAAGTAATCCTGTTATTATGTAGGATTGAGATAACAATAAATAGAAGTAGAAAGGTACTACTTTTAGTAAACTTGTTATTTGGTGCATAAATTGGGCAATAAAATAGTAACTATAAGTGTAAGAAAATGTATATATTGTACTAAAAGGAAGTACATTTCGAATAGGAAATAGATTAAAACTTGATCATGGGATAAGTAGGTGGTTTTCAAAGTTACTTCTAAAAAATAGTACGATAGTGTGTAGAAATGATATACTTAGGACTGGGGGAGTTTTATTTAAAAAATAAAATATATTTATTAGAAATTTGTAATGGAATTTGTTGTATAGGGAAAAGTTCCAAAGGTGGGTTTGGAAGTTTGTTCTAAATGGTAACAATAATCGCGATTATAATGAAAAAAGATGTGATTTTTGAAAATTCACAGATAAGGGGTAAATAGTACAAAATGAATAAGCCTTGGACCATGGTACAATAAATAGGTAGTCCATTTAGCGCAGCTGATGTCTCGATTAATTGTCAAAGTGGGTAATTTTTACTTGAATTCGATGTGCAGTGTTACCAACCATGTGAAATATTATAAGGAAAAATTTGACAATTCCATTGCGTATACGTCACGTTAATCCTGTTCGCAAATCCCGTGGATTATATTTGATGTATATGCTATGAAATTGACATTTGAGATCGAGTGGATTTAGTTGTCTAAATGTAGCCTTAGACTAGTTAGAGGACGTTTCTACTACTAAATTCACTGGAACTCATATATCAATTCCACCAACGTATACGTCACCTTAATCATGTTCACAAATCCTTCCCTATTATAATTTTTAGACGTATATGCAATGGAATTGACAATTTTGATCTACTGGATTTAATAAATTTGGCAAAATGTAAACGTAATATTATGTCGTAAACCTTCTCAGATCTTCAAATATAGTCATGATTTTACTAAAACACGTGTACATTAGAATTCTTTATCGTCAATGGAATTGCCAATTTTCAAAATCCATTACAATGTAAATGAACTAGTTTTCCCTTTTAGATAAATCCAATGAATTTATTTCGCGAAATGTAAACATGTTATCATAATCGAATTTCCTATGTCCGCCCCTATCACCCATTATCTTTTATCCACATTCGTAACAAATTTTAATTTCTTTTATTACCCTCATTCGTAACATTTTTTATTGTTTCTTATCTGTCCCATTGTGAATTGTCATTCTAGTTTGCCAATTTGGTTGGAATTTGCATTCCATGTTTGAGCTGTTGATGCTCTGAAGAACTCACAAAATGTCCATTGTTTTGGGTGGAGGTCTAAGCGGCCTATCTGCCGCCTATTATCTACTCAAGAAATTTGGCCAACCAACTGCAATTTTCGAGGCATCCAGTCGCATTGGAGGATGGATTAAAACGGAAAAACATAAGGAGAGAGGCTTCATTTTTGAAGCCGGCCCACGTACCATACGGCCCAAAGGTATATCGGGCGCCAATACCTTGGAAATGATTGAGGATTTGCAATTGCCCATCGAAGCGGTCACATCATCCCATGTTGCAGCTAAAAATCGTATGATTTATGCCAAAGGTCAATTGTGCATGTTGCCGAACAGTCTAAAGGGGGTGTTGAAAACCATACCACCCTTCAGCCAGCCACTGGCGATGGCTCTTCTCAACGATTTGAAATCGGCACCGAAAAAGATCAAATTTGGCGATGAGTCCATATATGATTTCGTCAGTCGTCGTTTTGGCAAGGAATTGGCCGATTATGCAATTAGTCCCATGATTTGTGGCATTTGTGCCGGTGATGCCAAGGAAATAAGTGTCCGTTTTCTGATGGATGAAATATTCGAGAAGGAACAACGATATGGTGGTGTCATGAAAGGTATTTTTCTAAGTAAACTGAACGACAAGAAGGGAAAGGAGGCAGCCTCAAAGGGTCTGTTTAAGGACAACCAACCGAAAATATTCAAGCAGGCAGTGGAAAATAAATGGAGCATGTATAGAGTTAATGATGGTTTGGAAACCTTACCTCGTAGCCTAAACGAGTATCTTCTCTCACGTGATGTGGAAGTAAATTTAGCATCGGAATGTCGAGAGATATTATTCACCGAAAATTCGGCACGTTTAAATATCAAGGGACAAGAGGTTGAGGCAAAACATGTTATCAGTTCCATTCCCAGCTTCAAATTGGCGGCATGTGTCAAAGGCCAACATCCCGGTTTGGCAGGACAGCTCATGGCCATACCCTATGTCGATGTGGCTGTTGTCAATTTACAATACAACAGTAAAGATATCTTGAAACAACCAGCATTTGGATTCCTAGTGCCCCCGGTGGAAAAAAGACCCATATTGGGTGTTATATTCGATAGCTGCATTTTCGATATGGAAGAGAATACAGTGATTACGGTTATGATGGGTGGTAAGTGGTTTGAACAATACTATGGACAAAATCCAACACAAAAGGAGATCTTGGATATTGCATTACGAGAAGTTAACCAAATATTGGGTATCGATCAAGAACCGAAAATGTCAAGAGTCCACATTTTAAAGAAATGCATACCACAATATAATGTGGGTCATAAACAGCGTGTCCAAGATATTCGTCGTTATATACAACGCTACAAATTGCCTTTATCCCTTTGCGGGGCGGCCTATGATGGTGTCGGAATAAATGATGTTGTTCTATCGGCTCGCATGAGTGTGGAGGAGATACCACGCTTACATTAGACTAAAAAACAATTTCTAAACAATTGAAAACTTAAACAATATTTATTGTTATTTACATTTTTATATAGACTATACTAAATAAAAATTCCTGGACAAAGGGAAATTGTTATAAATTTACACTGCTGGGCTGTTTTATTTGCCAAAACCACCTCGGCAATTAGGGCTTGGCTCGAGAGTATATTCGGGAGACCATTGTTTGGGAGTTTTGGCTTCTATGGACAGAGCATGGGGGAAATGATCAGCCAACTTGTCTTTAACAATAGTATTAACCAAACGATGGCGCTGTAATAAATGTTTGAAATAGAGATTTTGAGGGAAAAAATACAAATTGCCTACCTTTATCAACGGCAACTCATTGAATTTGTCCGACACCACAAGTACTTTAAAATGGGTTTCCGCATCCTTGGGAACATTGTGCATATACGATTCATTCACCACTTCCAAATGCACCGGTTGCAAATTTTCCTTCAATGTTGCAATAATGGCCTGTTCAACAGGACCTGCTTTGCCAATTGCAGAAGTGCTCATTTTGTTTGCCAAACGTAAAGATACGGCTGAAATTAATGGTAGTTTTTATCAAATGTTGATAATTATCAAACTCTTTTACTCACTTCTCAACATTGTCCAACTTCACCAATCAAAATGAGTGTTTTGATTATCCAAAACAATAACAGCTGAGTTTTAGGGTTTTATAGATCTATTAATTTCAAATGTGTTATCGATTTCTTATTTATGTTAAAATATAGATTAGAATAAAAAAATAAAAGAATAGTCCGTTATGAAATGTTCCTGACGATATTTGAATTGACTGAATGGCACTGAATGATGGGCATTCATTTGGACATTTTCTCTTATACGGTTGAAAGACGGTATCATTCACGGTAGAGCACAGATACCAACTGATTATTTTAATTTTTTCCTCAAGGTAGCTTGTTCCATTAAATTAAAATATATATTTTGAATGTGTGTGTATCGTTTCAAATAAATTAAAAATAAAAATTGAAATATATTAAATTTTAATTGAAATGAAAATAATGTTTTTAACGCGTCCGTCTTGAAAAAATTACTTTGTTATGGATGAAGCTAATATTTCATGGCAATTCATACTGGATTTTGGAAAGAAATCATAACCTTTCATTAATTTTTCGCGTTTTTAGCTATGTGTTGAAATAATGTCAAATAAACATAACCACTTGTTGTGTATATTTATTTTATATTTTGGCAGAAAAAGCCAACTCCTACATAGTTATTCAACTCAAGCTGCCCTACCTTGTATTATTGTACCATGGTATCATATATTTTTAAAGGTCAGTTCATGGTCAACTAATAAGGTCATCTAGACAGACCAGCTGGCTCTCAAGTTTGCTGTCAAAATCCATTATTCTATTATCCAAATTGTTGACATTAGACTTAAGAAAAAACAGCTGACTTTGAATGAATTTCAAACGATTTTTTATGGTCCGAATTAGAAGTTATGGATGTGAACGGTATATATTTCGACAGAGCGGTGCCGCTTGCCTAAAAGTCAAAGGGCTTAACATGTGAACAACGTCAGCATTGGGTTTAACACTGCGGATGACGATGTCACCCAACAGATAAAGCATCATGTAGGCCGATTCCATAATTTCTCCTCGATTAGATCACCTCCATTTATTTATCTCCAGCAGCAGACCGCCCGATTTTATCACTTCGGTGCATTTTCCTCAACTACATGGAAGCTGTCTGTGTTTCAGAGAATTCACCGAGAATCGCTTATAAGAATTGCCTATCCCTTTTTATGTTCTGGTAGCAGAAGGGAAACTTTCGGAATCTGTGAAAGGATGAAGCGAAGAGAGCTTTGCTGTATAAGATCTCTTTCCGCCGAGGAGGTAATACTGAAACAGCTGGATGGGCCAGAAGTCTAGTATTTAACTAAAGTCCACAATTCAGAATATTCCCTACATCGTACACGAAGCCAGGATAATGCGCGTGACCACTCTCGCTACTAATGTCAGACAAGGATACCAGCAAAAGGCGAATCTTACAGGCCGATTTCACTCAGTAACTTCGAATCCTTCTTAGTCGCTGATTCATTGATTTTCTTCAACTTTTCCAGGGTTTCCTTCACCTTTTGTGCATAGGATGTACGATGCGCAGCAGAAGTGCTGCCGTCCACGCATGCCGCACCCAATGTTGATCATCACTTTCCTCATCTTTACCCGTAATGCCTTCTTTGGCCGCAAAACTAGGCGGACTAAATGTCCGCCGAGCCAAACGTCTTTCTTTTGAGCACGTATTCTTTCTTTTTGAGCACGTATTCTTTCTTTTTGAGCACGTATTTCTATTCTCCATTTACGACCGCTCAGTAGCATTTCCTCTCGTTCTTCTTCGCTTCCATTGGGTATAGCATCAGCTTCATCGACATCCTTGGTCAGATAGGAATAAAAATAAGTTCCCAGAGTACTTTTTGGTCGTCGTCTCAATAAGGAGCGGATTAATCAAATTATGCAGGTGCGGTTGCAGCAATTCTTCCAATCGCTGCTTCTGCGGCTTAAACCTAAATTTACTTCATTAATTATGCTTGTATCAACTACCTCTTTTACTTAGTTGGATTGTGACAGAACATTTGTCGAGCATAAAAAATATTTCCAGGCGCGTCGTTCTTTTGAGCAGTTCTTCCAATTTGAAAGACGTTAATGTTTTCTTCCACTTGATCTTTCTATCTAATTCGTGGCCTTCCCCTTCTGACCATCAGCTAGGTTCGCTTTTATATGCCTCTTTTACTAAGATCCCCAAATGTCAGGTCAGAGGTACCACTGTAGAATCCTAATATTTATATTACATATATTACATACCCAAAAATTAATAATAGCATCTTAATATTTTAAAATTGAATTTTTCAAAACTTTATTTACGCTCAAGCAATATTTAGCCAGGCTAATATTATTAAATCCGATAACAAATTGCTTATTCTATTTTGTTGTTTTAGTAGAGGCATTGTAAAAAGTTTAACATATGTCTGGGTACGCTACATCATTATCTTCTTCATAATGGTTCTTAGAAAATACTTTGCAAAATTACTAATGAAATACAAAAGTAATAAACAATGAATGGAAATTAAAAAAAGAGAAGAAAATTAAAAAAATATAATTATCGTATCTTTCAATAATCCACCAATTTCTTCAATTTTGGCGGAGCTGAAATAACAACGCGACTACGACTAGTTGACGTTGATGTAGTAGAGGTAGATGAAGATTGTTGAGTCTGTTGCCGTTGCTGTGAATGTGAATCGTCAGCACCACGGTCCCTATTACGATTTCGATCTCTGTCTCGGTCCGAACGATCGCGTCCATCGCCAATGTCTCTATCGGAACGGTAACGATCACTGACACCACTACCGCCATGCCTCTGTCTTTCCCTGTCCCTATCCCGTTCCCTCTCTCGATCACGATCTCTCTCACGGTCTGTCCGGTCGCGGTTACGATCACGATGATCACGTTCATTTCGAGAACGTGAACGTCGGTAGCGGTCATCATATCGTGACCGTTCCGATGCGAAACGTGTTGAACGTTCTTGACTCGAGTCACGATACCGTCGCGAACGAGACATGCTTCGTCTACGTCGCCTTGAACTACTTCGTCGGTTACGTGATTGTGAACGAGATTTTTGTTGTCGGCTTGAACGACTCACTGATCGTCTAGCTTCACGGCTACGCGAACGTCTTCTAGTGATGGGCGAATTACGTTTCGTCTCCTGTTCAATTCGTCGTGATGGTGGTGATTTTCGCACAGATCTTTCACTGCTGCGCGATTTGCTGCGTTGTTCTTTTGCACTGGCAATGGCTGCAGCATATTCTGATGTTTCACTTTCAGAGGCTTTGCTATTTGGTGTACCATAGCGATGGCGAATTTCACGTTGTCTGAAAAAAAAGAAAACGAATTAAAATGAAAAAATATCATGGTTTGGGATTGAAAATAATTGCTGCATTACCTTCGTCTCAACTTTATTGCCAATTCACGCATTTCCTCATACCTCTCCTGCTGCATTTGACGTTCCCTTTCGGACTTTTCAATTTCAGCTTTCTTGTCTGCTTTATCTGCAAATTAAAGCATTTAAATATTTTAATTAGCAAATTATTCGAAAGTTTTCGAAGTCTTCAAATGGCATAATTGTTCTTGTACTGTACACTTATCGCTTACATTGCTTATTAAGCAAATTTTGCATTTTTTTCTTGAGACGTTCACGCAAATTTAAACGTCCACTGGCACTGGAAGCTGTTGGTGTGACACCGCCGCCAACTCCTGCACTTGCTGACGATGTACCCTGTAAGAAGCCACTTAGTCAAATTAAATCGAGAACAACATTTACAAAGTTAACAAATAAAAAATATATATAGAGAAACTAATGTCCGTTTAGAAGAGATCAGGAAAAAAGGAAAAGCGTTTGTCTAAAAACTCAAATCAGTCCATGTCGTATCATTGTGCAGGACTTATTGAAATAATTCGGTTTCATTGTCGGCGGTTCATTTTGTTTGTATTGTATGTCGTTAATGTTCAGTTTTGTGGTAGATTTTGATTTGCTAATTTCACTACGTAGATTGTGGTTCTCTGTTGTTGTTGTTCTTGTGTGAAGCATTGCAATTATTTGTTGGTTCTTACTGACTTTGGTCTCGGGAGCATTACTAACTGATGTAGCCGTTGATGAGTATTTGCCGGTTTGAAGTTTACCCTTGTGTGTTGCTGTTTGTGCAGTGGCAGACGATGAGGTGGATGGCAAAGGATTCGATTTTTCGGAGCTGAAATTGAAAAACCGGTCATTTACAATTTAATCCAAAATTTACTGCAACAAAGTATTTTCTTCTTCACGAAGTGGATTCAACATTACACTTACGTAGTGTCCATATCCATAGCTTCGGGGGCATCTGTATTCTCTGCAGATTTTGCAGCTTTCGAATCTTCTTCCGTGTCCGAATCACTGTCCGAGGAGGATGAATATTCGCCACGTTTACGTCCGTAATAACGTTTAAGTGGTGGTGGTGGCGGTTCTATAACTGTAACCAGTGGAACATTTGACGCTGATGTTTTCGTTGCAGTTTTTTCCTCGCTGGCTATAATGGGCGGCGGTGGTGGTGGAGGCTGATTAGTCATTGATGATAATATGTCAACTGTACTCTCCATGGGTTTGGAAGATTTTTCCAAAATCTGGGGCGCAGGAGGAGATTTTTCTTTGACTGGCGACAGCGATCTTTTTCGCAGTTTATCATACTTCGGACTGTGCCGTGTTCTTCTCGATGACGAACGACGTGACGGCGAAACTGAGCTGCGATGTGAGGATCTACTTGACGAACTAGATGCATAGCGTCTACGACGAGATTTGGATTTTGAATGCGATCGTGTGCGTGATCGCCTGTAAGGACTCCTGTAACGGCGAGATGAATGATGGCGTCGAGATTTTGAAAGTGACCTAGATCTTGATTTTGATCGAGAACGAGATCTTGTTTTTCTGCTACTCTTACGACGTCGTTTATAGGATGGACTTCTGGAACGTGTGCGTCGTGTACTCCTATAGGACCTCTTACGTGAACGGCTTCGAGAACGACTGCGACTTCGTGAGTAACTTCGACTTCGGCTGCGCGACGAATCCTTTTTAGTCGATGATTCGTTGATTTTCTTCAACTTATCTAAGTTTTCTTTCACCTTTTGTGCATAGGATGTAGGATGCGCAGCAGAAGTGCTGGCGTCCACGCATGCCGCACCCAATGTAGATCCCTTACCGAGAGTTATGGTAATTTTGGAATGGGGCTGCAGTTCATCCTCTCCCCCAAATGATGTAATATATGTAATTTTTTCCGTAGTATCGGAGGGTGATGGTGAGCGGGAATCACTTTCTTCATCTTTACCCGTATTGTCCTCCTTCGCCGCATAACTAGGCGGACTAAATGTACGCCGAGCCAAACGTCGTTCTTTTTGGGCACGTCTTTCTCGTCTTGACTTTCGACCACCCAATAGCATTTTCTCTCGTTCTTCTTCTCTTGCAATGCGTAGAGCATCAGCTTCATCGGCATCCTTCGTCAAATAGGAATAAAAATCATTACTCAACATGCCATAATTACGGCCACAGGCATTTAATTCATGGGCCTGATTCGTATCTAATTTGGATACATCAATCGAAACATCCATATCAATGTCAGAGTCTGACTCTGATTCAGAGTCATTTTCAGTCTTCTTGGAGCTTGCTCCGGCTCCAGCATGTTTCAAATGAGCAAATGGTTGTTGGGTGTCGATTACGCCAGCGACAGGATTGTCGGTGGAATCGTCATAGGAGTAACCAATAGCTGCACCAGGTTTTTGTGATTTCTTTTTGGCTTGATTAGCCTGTCCCATCGGGTCTAATGGGGCGTTAGCACCGAATTGTTCTTCGAGGAAAAGTTGATGAAGAAATTTCTCCTCGGTCAAATTTAGGAAATCATTTTGTGCCAATATCCGATATCGTTCGTAATTACACTGACGTTCCTCCTGCGACAATTCGGTATCACTGTCATTAGTTTTCGGCACTGGTGGTATATAATCTAGATGGGCTCGTACATCAAATCGATCAATAAGATTGTCATGTTGACCCTGCCATGGTACACTGTAAGATGAGAAAGGAAAAAAACTGTATATTTAAGATGGTTCTTTGGGAAACAAGATATTGAACATGATACTTATTACATTCTAAGTTGGATTAAAGGCAGTGGTAAATATATAAAAAGGAGTTTAACAAAGGCGAATTATTATGTATAATTCAACAAGGTATATTATGTATAAGGTATACGGAATATTTATACTTTGTTCAAAATTCGTTTCATATTTTAAAATAATCACAAGTATCCTCTATGTTCTGTGCAACAAATGGTGGATAAACCGGTTGTTATATAGAAAGATCTAAAGACCCTTTTCAATTCAATCGCAAATGATTTTATACAAATGTACTATTCTGTTACTAAGAGCTTCTAATAATATGCAAACCCAAGGTTACTTGAAAACCCAATTGCATTTATAACTCGTTGCAAGTTATTAACTGTGGGAAGCAATGCAATGCTAGCTAAGGACAAAATCACTGTTGGGCAAAATTGCAAAAGGGGTGTTTTATGTAAGAATTCTATTGTTGCACTAAACCCGTTTTACGTTTACAACATTTAATTAAAATTCCCATGCAAAATGTTTGCATAGAATGGAATCGGATTTTGCTACCCCTAGGGAAACTAGAAAAACAAGATATAACAATGGAAAAAATATGAATTTCAATATCACTTGCATGATTGCGGCACCATCTCCAGCACTGGCCACGGCTGGATCTAAATGAATTTTACATCTTCTTCCATGGATTTGGATAAATTGTGTGGGATCAGCTTGCTAAAAAATTAAGCAAAATAATAATTATTCAAATATTTTTTACATTAAAAAATTTAAACATAATGGCCCACTTACAATTTTTTCATAAAAGTCCTGTCTGCGCTCGGCCCGGCGTCTGTAATCAACAATGAGACCTCTTATTTTACGTTCTTGCTTGCGGGCTTCGTGCCACATTTTTTGGTCTTTTATTTTATTATTTATCTATTTACACAGCACACTCGAAAGATATTCGAGTGATATTTAATATCGACAAGATATTTAAAACATTTCTAATATTTTATTGAGCTTAAAAAAATAATAAATGAAACTAGACGTCCAGCAGCGACAGTAACACTTTGAAAAGAACGGAGCTATAACAAAATCATTATAACGCAGTTGAAATTTATTCTCATTCTCTTCATAATCGATATCAACGATTTATCGATATTTCAGCTAAAGAACATAAAGATGTGTATCTTTAATATTGGCGTAATAATATGAATTTTAGCTTAAAACTTTGCAATTTAATTGATAAAAATTTGAAAACAATTTTTATTAATAGTATATTCTTGCAGGGTCTTGCTCGATAATTTATTAAAAAAAAAAACAGACGTCATATAAGAAATAATATAAGAGATAATAATACATTTACGTTGTACCGGATTTAGTAAACCAAGCGGATTTAATTTGTCAATTCCATTGCATATATGTCAAACAAATCCTCATTGAGGGGTTGAGAGTAGATATAATACTGCAGTCCTTGGGCCTATGTGCTAGGTCACTAGATTCTCGTATATGAAATAAATTTAAATTGGATAACCCGCAAAATGTTAATGTATATGATGGTTTAAACCTATTAGAGTATTCAATATGGGTTTCTTTCCCTGAACCTGGAATATAATACTATTTTGTAGAATTTTGGAAGAAAAACGTTAAAAAATAAGAGAGAGAGAAGACCAAAATGGCATTCTCTTATTTTATATGTTCGAAAAAGAAGTAGTAAGTCGTGTATATAGAAATTACGAAAATTTTAAAGACGATTTTTATTGTTTTTCGAAGTATTATTTAGCATGATTAATTCACGTTTTCATTCGCTCAAGGAAATTGTTCAAAAGCCCAAGTTATCTTTCACCTTTGTGCATAGGATGTAATATGGCCGCTACAAACAACACAACAAAACTGTAACAACCGATATGTTATCGAAACTGTCACTCAAAAATGATAGTGTGTACACCGCTTAAGGGAGATGGGAACGGGAATCACTTTCTTTATATTTACCCGTATTGGTTTCTTTGGCCGCATAACTAGGCGGTTTTAAAGGCACTGTGGTCAATGTAAAATTCTTCATTAAGCGGTGTACACACTATCATTTTTGACTGTCAGCTTTTTTATCGATTACTGACTGTCCAACAACCATAAATATTTTTGTGGTTGCCTGATGAATGACAAACATGTGAGGCCACACTATCAAACAAGCAAAATTTGAGCAAGAGTGCCATTCAAAAATGCTAATGTGTACACCGCATTACTTTCATCTGAAGTGTTCCTATAAGTTCGACGGGGTTTTCTTTAAAAATTTGAAATGTACAGCCAATGTTGTTCTGTTCTCGTAGTGCAAGAATCTACTAATTTTACTAGTTTTTTCGGTATAACATTTGGTCTGTTCCCGTACTGCAAGAATCTACTATTTTTTACTCCGATAACACTTTTTTCCTTTATGATATCGAAGAAAATAGTAAAATCGAGTAGATTCTTGCAGTACGGTAACAGACCAATTGTTATCGTAGTAATAATTATACATTCTTCCAAGTTCTGGAAAAGACATTGTGTCAAAAATTGCCTTAATGTAAACATAGCATAACATAATTGAACGATTAATTTCGATTACCCGGATGTTCATATTTGTATAACGGTCGACAAAATAGTACCATTTATTACAACCGTTCATGTTTGTTTGCAAGGACATTCAGAAGAGAGTGCGAGGGAGAGTGTGTGCATTGCAAATTGTGAGAGAATGAGTCCTTTTCATACTGAAATGAATTAGTATTGAAAACAAGTGAATAAAAACTGCAGTATAAAATATTATTTCGCATTCAAAACACCATCAAGTGACAAAATGACATCGACTTTGGGTTTTTATAAAAAACCAAAAGTCCTTCACTCGCCCAGCTTTGATGATGATGACGACGATGAAGATGGGCTGTTTGCCAACGAAGAAGACGATGAATATTTACAGGAAGTGCCTTACACGTCGTCGAGTAGCATTGACCGTGGCAGTATCGGCTCAATACCATGGAATGACGATGCAATTCGATTGAATCAAATCGAATGGGAAAAAGTGGAGAATATGTTAGCCGGCATTGAGGATTTACCAACAGATGACGATTTGCGCAAGGAAATATTAGATTGGCAGAAAAAATTCCCCAAGTTAATGGGGCGCAAGACAAGCCCTTATAGGATAAAAGCATTAAGTTCGGATACTTTGGAATCGTTGCCAAGTTTAAATATTAGCAGTTCAGATGAAGATGAAATGGATGATGATATTACTCCAACCAGGGAGAAGGTAATACAACACGAAGAACCTACTGTAGCAGCAGCTTTCCGACAAACTTATAGGAAAACATCGGATGAGAGTAATGATTTAAATAGCCTACTGAAGAATTTCACATTGACCACAGTGCCTTTAAAACTCAATGAACGCGAAACGATGCATAATCCTGGAAATAAACGAAAATGTGCCACCAGTTCTACATCATCATCATATTCACCACCAACACCAACGAATGTTCCTATTGTCCAACCAACTACCAGTAGCCAACATCGTTTGCGTATGCCTCCTATTTTGAATGTTTTGGAGTCGACGAGAAAATTTCGTAATCTCGGTCGACATCAAGTCAATCCTAGCTTTGTACAATTGACACATGTGCAGCAGGCGAAATCTGCCGTGGTTACACAAGATCAAAATGCAAGATCCAGATTTAATACCGGACACAGATCGGCGTGGCATGTCCCCTTGGCGGCAAATCGATTTTTCAATAACCGCAATTCTATTGTATTGCCATCGTTATCATCATCACGCCAGCAGCAGCAACAGATAATACACCAGTATAATTCACAACCAACAACAATTTCGAATTCAAGTGATCTGAATACGACGACACCATCTAGCACAAGGGAACATTTTCTACGAACAAATAATGCCAATATATACAAGTCCAGTCAGATACTAGCATCTATAAATAAACGTGACAAATTTGGTGGTCCTACGACTACAGCCTCAACACAAACGACCAATAATACATCGACGAATTCGGGTAGATCGATTTCGGCGGCTATACCCACATATCATCCGAGATCAACATTTAATGTATTCTATTTACCATATAGTGCCTCAAAATTTCATGCTTTTAAGTAATCTTTTTGTTTTCAAAATATTAGAAAAAATAATGAATAGGTGTGAAATGATTATTTTTGTACAGTGTGACGAATTGTGAAGAATATTTAAAAAAGAAATAATAAATGTATATGGAAAAATTGAGAAATATAAATGTGGGTGGTATTACATCTTTATTTTCACAGGAATTGATATCGAAAATGCTGAGATTAATATGTTCTAAGGAACATGTAAAATTGCAGAAAGTTCTATTTAAAAAATGTGGGTCTTAATTCCTTTTTAATCAGGACGTCCCTTTATATGTGGAGCTATTTAAAAATTAAATCCAACGCGGAAGGCACTTCTGCAAATTGAAAATATTAGTCTAAAAAACCACTAGAACCTTTTACCGTTACTTGTGACCTGAAAACAAATATTGTAGGGGTAATAGGAAATTAAAGATTCAGTTGTCTATCGAAAATTTCAAAATCGTTATTTTGAAGTTCTAGTTTATTCAAAGACTTCTCTCGGATATTTGACTTGAAAATTTTAACTCGTATTTTGAACATTTATCTATTTTGTGTTAAAAAATATCGAGAGTCGAATGTATCTATCGTTATGAATTTAATTGAGGCCTAGAGAGTTCTTCAATAACAATGTAGCAACATGCACCTCTAGATCAACATGGCCTACAAGGCAGGTCTGATTAGCATTCATACAAATGCAGTCTTAAGGTAGTAGAATAATATGCATTTTATACTCGGATACCATATCCATAGCAGAACAGGAGAATTAGCTGCCCAGACAAATGCGAGTAGCCTTAGCTGCAATCATTATGATACAACTGACTTATTTCCGATTGAACTCAAAACACTTTGAACTTTTGTTTCTCCCCAGCTATGTTTAGGCACTTGCCTCATTTACTCAAATAACTTGGACCCTTCCTGAATTTGAATACAGGCTCCTTGTATCAATCACTTCAATTAAAAATATATTTTCTATTTCATCTTTTTGTTTTTTCTTTTGAACTTTTTTTATTATGAAACACTGATGACTCCGTCAACTTATATCTATATATTATAATTATCCAAGCGTAATCTACCCTCATTTTCAGTTAAATATAATAAATCAGATAGGGACTGTTCACAAATAAGTTCCTCAACACGCTCATGCATCTGCAAGGAAAAATACACCCATTAAATTCAAAAATACATGGAAAATACTTCAAATGTGTCAACTTACTCCTTTGGCTTTATAACTGCTCAAAACTTCAGGATATTTAAAACTTGGACCAAAATTAACACTAACTGTTGCACTTTTGTGTATTGATATTGTTGGATAATATGAGCCAGCATAGATATCACTAAATGCCACACCTTGAGATTGGCCATTTTTAAAGAATTCTATTCGACTGCCAGGTGCAACACGTAAACTTTTCAATGTCTCTTGGATTTTATCCTTATCCTCGTAATATAAATGCGATTTAAATTTCACCAAAGGCTAAACAAAAGAAGAATAAACACACAATTGAATATTTAGATCATATTAATTTACATATTTTGCTTACCCTATCTTTAAATGTATTTGGTAAATAATCCACTTCGTTTTCTTCGGGTAGATCAATTAAAAATCCCAATGTATCACCCTCTACGTAGGCTTCACTGTAATGCTTGCCATGACTTTCACTGAAACGCGTTCCCTTTCGCGATCGCCAGGAATAACCAAATTTGTCATAACCCAATGGTGCTTGTAAATTGCCATATTCCTGACCCCAACCCAAACGTGTTGCAGAGCCTTCGGGCATTTCTTCTATTGTCACTTCATAATACCATTTGCCACGATTAACAGCTGTAATGAAGAAAAAATGTATTGTTAGAAATAAATTATATTTTTTATATAGAATATACATATATGATTTTTTGAGCGGTGACCACAATAGGTATATTGTGAATATGAGGTCACTACCGATGATGGTTTTTTATATTGTTTTCTTTTTTTTAATTATATAATGATTTAACAATTCGTTTTATCTAGGCTAAGTCGTGTCCCTCTAGATTCTTCTGAGATTAGCACTGTGAGAGAGAGAAAGAGAGCTGAAATTCAAGAGAAGAATTGATTGTATGGTCGCCTCAGTATCCAAATTCAGGAATTTGTATGGATTGCGTCCATATGTACTTCGGAGAGCAACTTTTCTTCTACTACTATTTTCATATGGTATTGTTGTACTGTTCGCGTCATCATTTCGGGCCCAGAAGAATTTGAGGCAGCTGAAGCATTCTCATATTAGCTGCGCTATTTGCTTCTCCTCTGCTACCATTGATGCTAGGTGGTCTCCGAGTATAGCATTAATATGGTACTGCTCCAATGCCTGGACATTTCACTCTAGATCATGAGGTACTCCCAGACGTACCGATAAAATCCAAGCAGGTACCGATAAAATCCATCTTTATATCCTCATAAAGATAATCCACTAGTAGTCATAGTCTTACTGGTTAGAGAACAAACAGATTTCAATATTCTGCAAATCACATTCGCAAACCACACTGGCGCCGTATAGCTTAACACTGATCAACCTATTGCCTATTTTATAAGAGTGGTCAACAAGGTGTCCTTCTTAACTAATTGCAAATAGCAGTGCACAGATCACTTGAAAATCATCGGGAGCTTCATTTCTGCCGTCCTAGTTGTATGCAGTTGTTGAAAATCAGACACGTTAGGGTTAAACAGTTACGAAAAAATCACCCTACCTTGGGAAACCATTCTACGAGTCTACGTCTACTGAATTACTAGTAGCGATGGTATTCTCTATATCCTTGTCATGGTTGCCAATATCGAAGGACTTCTGTAAATCAAGTGCCACCATAACTGTTCGGATGCACGGTCTATTCTGATTCTGTTTCAGGAAAAGGGTCTTTGCGACAGAAATGGTGTTTATCTGTACTATTGACGTCACCTGGCATCCTTGTTAGGCTTTAGTAGAAGTACTTTTTTGTCACGACAACCGCAGCGTCTTAACAGCTAATTTTGTTTGAGCTTTATGTATTTGTTTGTCCTGACAAAATACCTCAACGTTATGGTGTTCTACTCCACAAACAGACGTCAATTAGTTTAGTCTGTCAATTTTGTGGTAATTATTTACTTAGCCGGCTTTCCAGGCTATCGTCTTTTGCGCAGCTCTTCCAATTTAAAAGACCCTGTTCCGAAATTTTGGTCCGAGTCCGAGGACGTCGCATTTCCTTCTCAATTCGTTCAAAGGTGGCTGTTACCGCTCGCAATGTTCGACCCATTATGTCGATGTCATCGGCGTAGGCGAGTAACATATGCTGTTTGGTGTACAGAGTGTTATATCTGTTCACATTTGCATCTCGTATGACCATTTCCAGCAGGATGTTAAACAGGTCACACGACAAATTGTCACCTTGTCTGAACCCACGTTCGGTATTGAATAAGTTCAAGATATCCTTTCCGACATTTACTGCTGATCTTGTGCCAGATAAAGTTATTGTGCATAGCCGAATTAATTTTGTGGGAATGCCGAATGTGTGACGTAATGGATGACAGATACCAAGTGTGGCTGAGTGGCTTTTTCATTGGAAACCCCTGGCTTATCTTGGCCCCTCTTTCATATAATTGTTGACACTGACCTCCACGCGGTGCCAGCTGGGGTAGCTACTTTCATCGTCCGTTGAAGTAGTCAGCTGATATGTGCCGCGATATCAACCATAAGAACTATAAAAATGGATTGAGGCGTCGGGTTAGTTGCCACACTCGGAAAACCACTACTACTATGAGAAAGCAAAGTCAATCTGATCATTGTTGCAGTAGGTCTAGATGGACACATGAACATAAGTATTTCCAAATTCAAGAGTGCATTCAAAATATCTAAAAATGTATCATATTCTCTCGGTCTATGTGCGGTAAAATGCGTCTTTGTTCCTTTAATAGCTAATGTTTTATGGGTATATTAAAAACCCAGAATGTTACCAATTTCGGTAAAGTTTTTAAATGTCAATCTCAAAACTTCGTCTTTGTAATAATTTAAATGTATATTTGATACGACATTTATGGTTTCCTATCATGTGTGCGTTCGATTTCCTTGTAGCCTAGTGTAACCAACAGCTGATTAATAAGATAATGATTATTTGCAAAAAGTATTCCACATACTGATACATATATACTTACAATGTGTTGCTCTCACCATACAATAACCCTTTTCTCCGGTGACAGCCAAACGATCTTCGGATATTTTCAATTGTGGGGCACGATCATGCAATGCCAATAACACACTATTCGGTACTAAGGTACGATATAACCAACCCGGTATGGGTTTACCAGCCCAATCGGATGATTCATCAAATTCCTGACGAAATGGGGCATGCGGATCGGGTTCGGCGAGAATGTAACGATAACCATCCTTGTTGAAGGGATGTTCCAATGGATAACCATGAGCTGGCAATTTAACATTGGCAGTAATATCGGAACTTGGTCGGCCCTTTTTGCCTGTCGGTCCGGAATCGGTACCGGGAAATTTGCGTTTATTTTGTCGATTGTTTTTCGAGAGGGAAGCTAGAAAAAAAGAGCGACGACATCACAGAATATTAAATAAATTGTATACGTGTCAAAGGTATTTGGAAGTTTGTATGTATAAACATTAAATTTTATAATATACCATTATTACTGAATACCCCACCCCATTTTTGGTACTGCTGTTATTGTTGTGTGTGTTTTTTTACAATTTTATATGCTAAGCTATTACGTACGTTCCTCATCACGGGTTATTGCAATATCCATGTTAAATTTCTTTTTTGCGTTTCAATTTCTTGCAGGCGATTTTCTTTGATCAGGTACAATTGATTGGTATTTACAAAAAATAAATATCAGATCTAAAGTTGAATTAATCACAGCATTTTCTGCTCAACAAAATGGAAAGGCCACTAGAATAAATTCAGCAACTACAACGATACGCCAGCAGAAGTATTTGTTTTGCTTTTTTCTTCTTCGAGTCGTCACACAAAGAAAGCAACAACAACTACAACAGCACCGAATATTTAAAATATTTTCAAGATAAATTCCACAGCAACACCATGAGCGTACAACACCAACTGCGATGAATGCATGTCACTTACGAATCACACTACCAACAAAAACAACATTGACAGTATGAACCGACCTACTACGACATCCTTCTTCCTCTCCTCCAACTCTCTGTGTCGTGGCGACACGAATAAACCAACCAACAACTTCAAGTGTTTTGTGGAAATATTGGAAAAACTGTCCGACTGCTGCAACTTGAGGACTTTTCCCCCAATCCAATTCAGATTAGTTAGTTTGTGGGGAGAGAAATGTGACGAACGATTTGTAATATATTTTAATCTCTGGGATGTGGATATGTTTTAGGGTTTGTTTGTTCGCTGCGACCAACAAAATAACAAAACACAAAACCGCAAATGAAAATAACAATTAATATTTGTAAAACAAACAAACACAATACATACAACAACACATTAACTACATGTGTATGAGAAGAACGATTGGCCGAAGAGGTGAAGGTGAGGGAGGAGGTGGCGGTACACCACTATCAAATCATGTATATAAAACAGCAACAGCAACAAAATTTGCCAGCTATATTATATGGTGTCAAACAGTCAGGCAGAAACGACAGTAGCGGCAACAGCAACCAGTGAGTGACGGCAACTATGCCATAGGAATAGCAAAGCAAAACACAATAGATAGCCCCAAAACCGAGGAGAAATCAAAACAGCAAACACAAAAAACCAACAACAACAACAACGTCAACTGCGTTGTGGACAGCGAAGCTACGTCATTAAACTATGCAAAAGCATGCTTGTCGTAGTCGTCGTCGACGTTGTATCTGAATCTCTCAGTTTGATTGGGTTCAGTTCATTGTGTGTGTCCGCTTCGTTGACAGTGGTGGTGGTGGTGCCCACCTATTTAGTTAACTGCGTTCCATCCACAGCAAAGCAGCAGATAATGACAAACTATGGTATTCATTTGTTGAGCTTACACAGTAGCCGCTCTATTTCTTAAATGAAAAAAAGAATAAATTGGCAAATAATCTTCGGTTTTGAATTACAACTTCTTAAATACCTACAAAGAAATATTGGCGACTAACAGAATATATAGTGTAATACAAAAAATGGCACAAGTGTAATAGCAAAAAAAAAAAAAAACTAAAAATGTAACATACCCAAAGACAACAATGACGACATTGCGTTTTTTTATATTATAGAAAACAATAATTACTGATTGCAGAAGAGTACAAGCGAGTAGTATCCCTTGGTTAATGTGAGGGGGAGCGAATAGTGTATCTGTGCATGGCACAAACACCTAACCGTTTTTTTAATACATCTGCTCAATTGAGAGATCAAGTTTTAAAGAATCTGCAATACACTAACAAGTTGCAAACAACATACAATCACAGTTTGTCAGGCAATCGTTTTCGAAGTAAAATTTTTTAATTTTTCGACATTAATGAATTACAAAAAAAACTTAAATTTCGGAGAAAACTCGGTAAGAAAAAGGAGGATTTTTTATCCTCTAGGAAAACACCGTCCAAAATTCCATTTACTTTACTATGACCCTATAATACGCAATAAATTAACATGAAGTCAGTCGAAAATGTATATGGAGGAAATATTTGCATCTGAACCAATTTTTACAAAATGCAATTTAATACCTTAACACATGTTAGGCTATACTAACTTTAGAACACTGTCAAAATTTGGTGTCAATCGAACAAACATGAAGAGTTTGATGCACTATTGACCTAAAATCGGAAGAAACTATATATGGGAGCTATATCTAAATCTGCACCGATTTCATCCAAACTTACCAGACTTTATTGTAGACTCATTTCAATACGTTGCACATAATGTTGTGTCAATTGGACACAATTTAACTTTTTGGTGTACAGTAGATATCGGATATAGGCACATCTCATATAAGAAAAATTGGCATATAAGAAAGATTATCAAAAACACCGAGCTTATACTTTCTTATATCCGATAATTCCATATAAGAAAAAACGCATATAAAAAAGAAATCTCCGTCTTTTTTTTTCAGTGTCTTATATCCGATATCTACTGTACCATTTTTCTTAAAATTGTGTGAAAATATATATGGGAGCTATATCTAAGTTTAAACCGATTTCAATAAAACTTGGCACACGTTAGGCTATCCCAACTTCGGTACGTTGTGCAAAATTGTGTGCCAATCAGTCAAAATTTGACTCTTTGGTGCACCATTTGCTAAAAATCGGACGAAAATATATATGGGAGCTATATCTAAACCTTTTCAAAAATTTCAATAGGGTTTGTCCTTGGGGCTTATAAATTATCTGTACCAAATTACATCTCATTCGGATAATAAATGCGACGTGCACCTTGTTTACAATTTAACTTGGACTGACAGACGGCCGGACGGTCATGCATAAATCGACACAGAAAGTGATACTATGCACAACCTTGGATATGGGTTTCGACACCTCGGCAGAAGGTGGATTTCCAAGGGGAGGTTGTTCCTTATCAGCCTTCTTGGATGCCTTTTTACGGGCTCTCCGTCGGGCTGACTTCGACAGTCCCTTACCCTCCGTCTTCGTGGATGCTGGTGTCAGAGACGTCTTAGTGCTTAGTTTACCCTTGGGGGATACTGAGGACTCTGGCGTCTCAGCCACCAACTTCCTATATGTGCTAGGACCTAGGACCTTTTTTTCCTTTTTTGGAGGGAATACCGTGGTAATCTTCGAATTATGTTTTGGAATCCTTTCAATCAAGAAGTCCCTCTCAATATTGTTCGGATAATTCCTGGAGAACTTCCAAATGAATTTGAGGTTCCTCTTCATCAAAAAGAAGTCCTTATCCGTTATGGAGTCGCTGTCTCATAACAGGCTTCACACTATCCGCAACCTGTGGACGCTTCCGTTAGCATTCATATCTGCTCCCCCATGGCGGTAAAGGGTTTACAAATGTTATAGGAAGAGGTGTTTTAATCAAAAAAAGGCAGACTTCTAAACTACAGCCACTTACAACATTCCGAAAATGAGTCGGGTTATTATGCAAATTTCAGCGGGATGTTTTTATCCAACAAAAACCTGGAATGTTAAATTACAGCCACTTTGTGTGGATTATGTACCATGAACCTACCTAAAATCGGACGGGACGGGAATCGATATTAAGTTACTGTAAAGAATTGTTTTTCATCTCCAAGAACACACAATGCCAACCAAATTGCAGTCACTTCGGTTGGGCAATCGTCAAAATATCGAAAATATGGTGGGATCTCTATATGGACCATGAATTGGTCATATATGCTTTCTACGCATAAATTTTATCTAATCGTAGTTATTCGTTTTTTTTTCTTCACTTACCCTGGGCATAACCATCTTCGGTTAATCGTAATGCGCCCATTTTTGTCATTGCCTCATAATTCGGTTTGATTTGTGACAAATCGGGTATCATCAAACCAAACATGGCACCATTCTCTGGATGCTCTTCATATGTAAATGTAATCTGAACATCTTTTAGTAAGGAACGTTGTACCGTCGAATACCATGATTGTGTAACGCGGCGTGGCATTGTTGTCATTGCTTCCCAATATTGTTCCAGGAACGGAATAATTTCTTTATCTTTGCTGAAGAGGTTTTTCGGTTTGCCTTCCTTGGTGCTGTTGTTGCGCATATTGGCAATGGCAGTGATACACATTTGTGGAATGGCTAAATGCAAACAAAAAAATTATACTCGTCAGTAGGCATAGTTAATCATATGTATACGTAGTCCCCCAACTTACTGGCTTGGGATCTGCGAAAATTCTCCAAGCCACTAGGTGAACAGTTCTTGCAAACAAACACATAATTTGTTATGAATGGCACCAGCTTTCCCAGCTGGTAACCTATGCATGACTCGTGGAACCAGCGACTGCAATAGGCACATAGTAATTCCACAATATTGAGATTACGTTCCTTGCCACTGGAAGAAAAAGAAATATAATCTGAATGAATCTGCAACTTATCAATGCCGTCTGTTTACAAATGTGTTGTTTTGTTTACCAATAACAATTGCCGGTTTTCTCTTCAGTCTTCTTCTCACCTCCACCAACCCCACTTCCAGCATTGCTGTCACTTCCATCCATTTGAGCGTTGTTCTCAATTTGCATATCGTCCATAGCTCGTATCAAATGCCAACTTTCGATATTTGCTATTAGGAAATTGGCATAAAAGTCTATCGTATGTTTAATGTTTTATTTAAATAAAATACAAAATTAAATTAAATAACTTGCTGCTGCCGAAAGTTGCGTCGTTCACGAACAAATAGCCAATAAAATTTCGCCGACCAAAATTTAAAACGTTCCACAATTGAAGTGAGAACGAAAGAATATCCGATAAAGAAGAAACTCTAAAGCTGACAGACAGAATATTTACGAATGAGATGTGGAGGAAATCGCTTAAAAGAGACGATTGTTGAGAATGGGGGCATTGGAGACAGACAATTGAACGATTTCCTGAACCGAGCTAATGAACTAGGTACAATAGTAGAAGACATGTATACAATGAAATTGACAATTCAAAACAAAATCCGGTACAAGGTAAACCATGGTACAATTATAAAAGGTAACAGCAAATCCCAGCTGATTTGATTCCAACGTAATACTAGTGTCAATATGAATTTGACAAATTATGTTTTTAAAAATCACCCAACAGGAAAATTGGGAACGGATACAATTTGAAATTGTTCATTATTAAATGTGCTCCCGTATTCAATTTACTCAATCTGCCTGCTGGGAATGTTTGAGGAAGCACATCTTTCTTCAAGGAATAACACGCTATTCCCAGCATTTTCATATGTGTTATACATATATATATATATATATATATATATATGGCAATGGCTCAATTATAGGAAAGATGTGGAAGCGATAGAAATATAAATTTGATAGATTTTTATTCATGTTTTTCAATTTATATTTTGAGGATTCGATATTTCATTTTCAAAATAAAAATAATTTGATGATAATTTGTTTGTTTACATTTTTCTGTCAAAGGAGTTGACACTAGTAGAACTTACAACAACAAATTTCCATGTGGTTGTTGTATCGTTTTTTGTACAACAACACTTGCTGTTACCTTCTATTATTATACCATGAAGGTAAACGTACAATAAAACTCCAAAGATTTTTCCATAGGGTTGTGATCTGATAATTGTGTTGGCCTGATATTTTACTTCCGCCACAAATATTTGACATGTTTTGGTGTATGTTTGGAGGTTATTGTCAAGCTGAAACACCCAAACAAGCGGTGTATTTTCTTCACTGATTTTGAGCAGCTGATCTCTTAAGCGGTGTACTATCACTTTTGAATGACAATTTTTAATGATTACTGGCTGTCCAACAACCATGAATATTTTTGTGGTTGCCTAATGAATGACAATCATGAGAGGCCACACTATCAAACAAACAAAATTTGGGCAAGAGTGTCATTCAAAAATGCTAGTGTGTACACCGCTTTAATTAACTGTTAAAGTGCGTAATTTCTACTTGAATTCGACGTGCAATGTTGCCAAACATGTTATACATATTATAATAAAAAATTGACAGATGGTCGAGGCAAAAACAAAGTTTTTTGTTTCATACATCACCTTATTACTGCATTATGATACTGTCATTTGTAACGAATGTGTAAGTTAACATAACTGTCTTTTATAAACCTATGGTTAGCTCTTTGATTTATATATCCCTTAAATATTTTTTGTTCGATTTTTTCTTTGATTCTCATTCTAAACAACTATTGTCACTTTTGCTTTGCTACGTATTCGTAACAAGAAAAAAAACTGTTGACTTTCGATTTTGTGGTTTTATCGATAATTTGATTTGTATAGCTTTTGTGTTTGTTTTTGTTATTGTTTACATTTAGTATTTACGTAGTTGGGGTCGATGTTGTCGGTCGTTGGCGGTGGTCAAAGTGTAAATAAAAAACTTTATACCTTTAAACGGTCTAATTGTATCGTAGTGCTATATATATTTTTTAATAAAAATCTTGACATTTTAAATGCCATTGTGAAATATTTTAATAGCAATTGTGTATTGCTTTGCATGATAAATAAATAAATCGAAAGTGGTATTATGTAAAGTGAAATGGACTAATGCGATTATAAGGCAACCTGTTCTCAAGTCAATGCACCTAACACAGATATTTCCGGGAATTGTGTGCATTGTGATGGTGATTGGTAAGTAGTTCAGCAACTGCAGCCATGGTAACATTAAGTTAATGGTGTTTTAAAACAATAGGTACAAAACAAGAAACAATTGGGTTAAATCAATTTAGAATTATGGGTGTTTTTTCGTTCTACTGCCACCTTTGTATGGAAATATGCCATTTAAGGGAATTTCGAACAAATGAATTGTATGTAATGCATTAGTATGATACGTGTTCGGAATAAAGCGTATTTGGCATTTCCAAGTGTTCACGCATCATCTCACTGTTACTGCTTTGTTTGGATTGTAATTAGGTTTCTCTCAATCAGGGCTGCCAGATTTTTTTTGGAAAAATCACTGTTACTGCTTTGTTTGGAGATCACTATGTTCAACTTTAAATTAGACTCTCTCACAAATTTAACAAAACAATTATGTTTCTCTCAATGCAATGTGTTTCTCTCTTTTAGAAAACCCCCTAATTACTGTTAATTCCAAATATATAGGGATGCCAATTCAGAATTAGTAGAATTGAGCTATGTGGGAAGTTTCGGAAATTTGTACTTATGTATGTGTAATAAATGTTACCAAATGTGGATTTGGGTGAACCGATTGAGGTGGAATTTTAAAATTTTACGTTAGGATCACTGTAAGGGTGTAGGATGGGGCAATGTAGAGAGTTTTGGAAATTTGTATGTGTATGTACTAAATGTGTACTAAATTTGGTATAGTTTAAATTTTGTGTGAACCCATAGAGCTGCAATCCTGAAAAATCATTTGGGGTATGGATGTAGTTTTTGGAATTTTATACTAATGGGTACTAAATGACACTAAATTTTGTTCAATTTGAATTTTGGTTGAACCAATAGATCTGGCGTCAAGGTATATTTAATAAGGTAGCCGCATCGGCCCAGCTATTGGTGCAAATATATGTCAAAAATATAGTTGTAATGTTGAACCAAAAAATTAAAAAGCAAAATTATAATTGAAAATCTCCGAATTTCGAAGAGGTTGTTTGGCAATACTTTTATTCATATTTTCTACAGGAATTTGTGTAAAAAATCTTGTGAATTAGTTTGTTTTCCTAAAATATTTTTGACATATCAAAATACAACAACGAAATTCGCCTATGCGACTACCTTGTATATCTACCTTGGATGGCATCATGAAATTTGGTGTTAGAAACATTTTTGAGGTGTAAGATTGGGAAGTGTAGGAAGTTTTGGAAATGTACTAAATATTGTACAATTTAAAGTTTGGCTAAACCGGAGTTTGGACACGTTTTTAACCAAATTGACTGTAATTTGGTATTTCACTATTGGTTCACTTTAAAATTTTTCGATTTGCACGAAATTCGGCACAGCGTAATGAATTAGGTCTAGAATGATGTGTATTAAGTATCCTGAAAATCGGTTCAGATTTAGATATAGCTCCCATATATATTTTTGTTCGATTAAATGTAAATGATGCACCAAAGTCCCTATATATCCTTCGATTAGCATGAAATTTCGCATAGCGTACTGAATTAGGTCTGGAATGATATGTGTTTTGTGAAAATCGGTTCAGATTTAGATATAGCTCTCATAAATATTTTCGCCCGATTTATTGTAAATGGTGTACCAAAGTCCCTATATATCTTTGTACGAAATTTGACACAGCGTAATGAATTAAGTATAGAACGATGTGTGCTAAGTTTCGTGGAAATCTGTTCAGACTTAGATATTACTCCCATATATATTTTCGTCCGATTTAATGTAAATGGTGCACCAAAGTCCCTATATATCTTTCGATTTGCACAAAATTGGGCATGGCGTACTGAATAAATTCTAGAATATATACAATGATCTGTTGTAAATATAAGTTAATCTCTGGCAAGTCTCGGAGAAATCGGTTCAGATTTAGATATAGGTGCACAAAACTACTCATGTTTATTAGACATTTATCCAAATAATCAACAGATGTCCGATTGATATTTGCTTTAAATTGATTTACATAATTTTGTCCCATTGTAAGAAGCAACTCTATATCTGAGGTTGCAGAATGACATGTTTATGGATCTAATTTCATTTTACTAATACTTCAAAAATGCGACGTCTGTTATGATTCATCTGTTGAATATACCCTAAGTGGTGAAGGGTATCATATAGTCGGACCAGTCCGACTTTACTAATTTCCTTACTGGTTTTTAATTGAAATTTTATTTGGTTTGATGTTTTATGTTTGGTGGTCATTAAGTAGGGGCACTATTTGTGTGTGCGGCAGTCAGCCCCCAACAAAGAGTCAACATGTTTCCAATTGAAATCGTAGAGAAATAAACCTCAGGCAAGAGCAGAGCAACACACATTTCGCTTAATTCAGTCACAAACAAAGCAGCCACTGGCAGGGTAAACGTTTTGATAGCTCTGTCGGTTGAGTTGCGGTTGGCGGATGGATATTCACCCGTAAATAAAAAATTGAAACATTCGTCGTATTTTTGTGTGTGTTTTTTGTTTGGTCGTGTGTTAAGAAGTTATTATTGGTGGTCATCAGAGTGTGGTATTTGTTGTTGCTGCTACTTAAATATTATGAAATTTTACAACATATAAACACATCTGTGTATATTTTTTCAAATAACAAAAAAGAAGAAGAATGCAAAGAGTGGAGGAGGAAAAAACTAAACTTTCACCATATTATAAATAATTTGAAAAATTAACTACTTACATATCAAGTGTTTTTTAGCCCTAAAAATGTATTGAGTTTTTTGTAAATATTTTTTTGTTTTGTTTAACGGAATTTGAATTGGAATGAGTAATAATAGAGTTTTAAATATTAACTAGGCAATGATGCAAAACAAATAATTGAAACCTGGTGGTACTTGTTTTGCTATGCAAACATTAAAAAAAATTCAATATCTTTGTTATCTTTTGTTGACATAGCAAACCGTTTTGAACATCATTTTGCCATTTATTGAAATTATAACAAACAAAAACAATAACAATTTTTTGCTCCATGATCTATTTGCA